ATTTTCATTGAGCAGGTGTATTATTGTCATGTTCACCAGCGAACAACCACCAGATGTCGCTGTTAAACACACACACACACACACACACACACACACTTAGGGCTACAAATCTGCTGATAAACTACATATTTCAGGCAAGCGATGGTCAACACAGGTGCAAACAGGTATTTGGAGACAGTCCAGAATCACAGTCGAATACAGGCTAGAGGTCAGAAAGGCAGGCGGCAGGCAAAGACAAAGAGGCTAACAAGGCTAACGGTCGGTACACGCGATAACAAGACAGGGAAACCGCTTTGTAATGTCACCTTACAGATAAACAAGACTCGGCAATGTGAATGAGTGTGTATGCTGCTTAAATGCTGTGTGTAATCAGTCTTGAAGCAGGATCAGCTCTGGGAGTCTAATCAGTGGAGACTTGGACCAGGTGTGTGTGTGTGTGTGGCATGACTGAATATGTAGTTTATCAGCAGATTTGTAGTCCTAAGTGTGTGTGTGCGTTTACCAGCGACATCTGGTGGTTGTTCGCTGGTGAACATGACAATTATTCATTAATATTAACTATTCGAATTCTTATATTTACTAAGGTGCTGCTGTTTGGGGTCGATAGTTACATCATCATCATTAACGTTAGTTAACCTGCGGGCTGCATTTTGCTCACGGGGCTGCAAGAAAATAAATAAAAAGAGCAGTGCTGCAGCAAAATAATGAAAGAAAAGAGTGAAGCTATGGTCAAATAAATAAATAAATGAACAAAGTGTGACTGCTGAGAGTGCAAGCAACTAGGGACACCGGCCCTCGCGGCCAAAAACAGACCGGCCCACCGGGAATTCACCCCGGTCCTCCCGATTAGCCAATCCGGGCCTGTATATATCATTGTTTGTGTGGTACTTTGAGCTGAAACTTCACATACACACCCAAGGGACTTATTTTACATCTTGCAAAAGGAGCATAATAGGCCCCCTTTAAAGCAGAATGCGCTCTAAGTTTACCAACTATGATGACCTCTACACCGATACACCCGGAAATGTGAAAAGGATCCATCATGAATCATTGTGAACAGGATGGATGTCTTTAAACACATTCTCTGTCCTTTGAAAGTTTCAACACTGACAGTCGCAATCTAATCTCAGCTAAATGAAGTGAGAATCATGACTATCTCTCTTACAAGCTCGCTCATTATGTGAAATCCTTTGCTTTTGAAACAGCAGCCCCACTAGAATCCAGGTCAAGGCAATCATCAGAGCTGCAATCACACATCAGGAAACCACAGCGGGACAATGCCAAGCAGACTAGCTAAGAGTAAAAGAGCAAATAAGAGGTTCTATGGTATAAAAAAAAGAAGCACAACCCAGTTTCATTGGAGATACGTACCCAAGGCTACAATTTTGAGAACTAAAAAATATGTACCCTGGACCATGTGTTCTGAGTAGGGTCTGTGTGCAGACTGCAAGACAGGGGCATACCATGAAGGGGGTATAACTTGTAGTAGCAACGCAACTGGAAGTTACGTCTTTCAACACCTTTTATCTGAGAAATATCGCTAAGTTACGAAGTATGCTATCATCTCAGATGCAGAAAAGCTAGTCCATGCTTTTATGACTTCTAGGCTGGATTACTGTAATGCTCTATTTGCTGGCTGCCCAGCATCCTCTATTAACAAACTTAAATTAGTACAAAATTCAGCTGCCAGAGTTCTGACCAGGTCTAGAATATGATCATATCACCCCAATTTTATCCTCCTTACACTGGCTGCCTGTTAAGTTTCTTATTGAATTTAAAATATTGCTTTTTACCTATAAAGCTTTAAATAATCTAGCTCCTGTTTATCTAACCAACCTTCTGTTCGCTACAATTCAACTCGCTCTTTAGGATCTCAAAACTCAGGGCTTCTGGTAGTACCTATAATAGAAAAGCCAAGTAAAGGAGGTCGAGCCTTCTCATTTATGGCTCCTAAACTCTGGAATAGCCTTCCTGATAACGTCCGAGGCTCAGACACACTCTCCCAATTCAAAACTAGATTAAAGACCTATCTGTTAAGTAAAGCATACACTCAATGCATCACTTAGCGGTAGGACGCATGAATGTGCCCCACACAGATTTTTGCATCTAGTTTATGTACACTATGAACAGCAGCTACGCTAATTATTCTATTTATACTCTATTTCCACCTGGGGAAACTCATCCCGAGGCCTTCAGACTATATAGCACCACTGATTCGATCCAAGACCAGCGACAAGATCACCCCAAGGTTTCCATAATCCTGGACCAGGCCGTATCCTGAGCAGGTGCTGTGGTGGTCATGGTGGAGTGGAGAGCCTGAGACTGATTCCTGTGACGCTCCAGAGACAGACGAGTCTTTGATGAGGTCCAGCATTCTCCAGCCTCCGCCGCCTAGACTGCAGCTCTGCACAAGACGTTTGGCCAGAGGAGAAATGGCCGTGCCCAACTGAGTCTGGTTTCTTTCAAGGTGTTTTAATTGTTCACTTTCGCTAATTGGTTAAGTTTCTTTCTCGCCGCTGTCGCCACTGGCTTGCATGGTTTGGGATCTGTAGAGCTGTGTATCGATGGATTTGCTCTTAAGTGTTTGAACTCTCAGTAATGATTATTAAACCAAACTGAACTGAACTAAACTGAAATGAACTTAAACACAGAAAACTGGACTGACACTGTTTCAATTTATAGTGATCTTCTATGTGAAGCTGCTTTGACACAATTTACTTTGTAAAAGCACTATACAAATAAAGGTGAATTGAATTAATTTGAATTAGAGACCCACGTGTCAAAACTATGTTGTCAGCAAGATAAAAATAATTCCTTACATTTGTATATAGCGCTTTTTCTGGACAATCAAAGAAAGACACATGTAAAGGCTGATTTATACTTCTGCGTCAAACGCCGGCGCATGCTACAGCGCTGACGCATAGCCCTTCATCGTGGCCGTCGCGTCGCTGACGTGCACCTCTCAAAAAATGTAATTACACGTCGCAACGACGCGTAGCGTAAGCTCTGTGATTGGTCGGCTTGGTAGCGATGACGAGTCTGAGCGGGACCGAGAGCCGCGCGAATGGCGCGAGCGATTGTTTACAAGTGTGGAGTCCCGTGAAGGAGCTCCGGATGGAAAGTTTTGTTTTGTGTTTACCTCATAGTTAAAGTTGTTGCACGTCCGACGGTTCCTGCCTCAAAATGAGCGAGTTTGAGCCACTTGTACATCCCGGAAGTGTTCAGGAAAAGCAAAAAAGCAGCGGAGAAACTCGACACAGAGGAACATTAACATCTCACTGCCAACTAGCGTTTCAGAAGTGTTAATGCAGACCAACAGAGACAGCGCGCAGAAGTATAAATGCACAGCCAGGCTGAATGGTTAAGACGCACAGGCAGCCAAATTGCGCCAGACCGCACACAACACACCAGCTGATTGGAGGAGAAGAGAAAGAGTGATGAAGCCAATTATGATATGGGGATGGTTAGGAGGCCATGATGGTCAGAGCCCAGTGGGCAAATCTGGCTAATATGCTGGGGTTAAACCCCTACTCATTTTCGAAAAACATCCAAGGGGAAAAAAAAAATTGAAATCCGAAAGACGGCACTCCCTCAGCAATACAGAGTCCCCATCAATATACTGGGGTGTTAAGACCAATACAGGACAGGACCCACACACCACTTTCGGCAGCAACCTAGCTTTCCCATGTGGTCTCCTATCCAGGTACTGACCAGGCATAACCCTGCTTGGCTTTAGTGGGCGACCATGTGAGAGTTGCAGAGAGTTATTGTAACGGAGGCCAGCTAGTAAGTGCTGTGCAGGTAAACCTCACTCCTCTGACCTCTACAGGTGCTCTAGCGACAGACGCTAGTGGACATGGTCTCTAGCCTCCTTGTTAGAGCAACAGACTCCCATGCGGAAGGTTGCCAGTTCGATCCCAGCTCGTATCGGTTTGGGTGGTGTAGGACCGGCGGGGTTACACTAGCTGCCGGCAAATATGGCGATGTAACCATCAGTTATTAACCTCTATACCAGGGGTGCTCAATCCTGTTCCTGGAGATCTACCTTCCTGTACAGTTTAGCTCCTACCCTGATCAAACCCACCTGAACCAATTAATTAGGAACTGAAATCCAATTGATAATTACAGACAGGTGTGTTTGATAAGGGTTGCAACTGAAATCTGCAGGAAGGTAGATCTCCAGGAACAGGATTGGCCACCCCTGCTCTATACCTACCCTAAACCCAACCATTATAGTTATTAACGTCTACACCAACCCTAAACCCAACTGTCACATTTATTAAAGTCTACACTCACTCCACTGTGCATGTACAGCCTTGAGTTGCGTAAGCTTTCATTCGTCACGCTCGTAATTGTACTGTTATTTGCAACCACAGGGGGCGACCTGGAGTAGGCAAAACGTATGAAAAAGACAGCGAGTGGAATTGCAAGAATGAACATAATAATATATCAAATAATAGGTTGTGGATAAATTTGGAGAAAACGCATGAAAACATTTGCTGAAAATGTTGTCTGGTAAGTATTTCCACCATCCTGCCAACAACATCTCGTTGTGATATCTAGCATGGTTCAATGGGATCAATGGGATAACAATGGGATAACTGCATGTTACAGCCCTGTCTGCAGACAGATACGGTTGGGTTTTCTTGCAGTTTTTTTCTTCTTCTAAAAATCCACTAGAGGGCGCTGTGCACATTTTTGACAATCTCAGATGTTACACGTTTCTCATACGTGCTATTTCTCATAAATCCACCAGAGGCCGCTGTGAGACATTTGTCAAATTTGGATCTACCAATGTTTAATTATTTTATTACATTCTTAACATTTGGATTAGTTTATGTAGTGCCCAAATTAAAGTAATCATTATCAACGTTACCATTGGCCAGAACTAAAATGTTATGCTCAATATTTTATTGTAAATCATATGTTTTAAAACCAGAATCAGTTAAATTAGTGAATTCACTCACCAACATCAATATATTTAGAAAACATTACTGAGATTATGATGCAAACGAGTATTTATTGGCTGTAAATAAAGATCATTCATGGATTTTCATCAATATAACACTAAAAAAGGCAGTGGCTATTTATACAGAGTGCCAAAAAAGTTAGATGCACTGAGTGTAGCACATTGTATAAAAATAGAGTACATTTTACACAAAAATACTATTTCAGTTTTTCTACTTGAAAATTACGTTTAACTCTTTCCATGCCATTGTCGAGATACCTCAACAATTAAGAGAAGCTTATGCGCTTGTTGAGTTGTGACGTCTGGAATACTGTTTCCGGGTACAAGCCCCTACTCATTTAAATTGAGAAAATATTAGTTTATGACCACTTTTTAGTCCCGTCACACATTGAATTAAAATTATTAGCCCCGTTAAGCTATTTTTTTTTCGATAGTCTACAGAATGATCGTCTACAGTGGAATGAACCGCCAACTTATCCAGCATATGTTTCACGCAGTAGATGCCCTTCCAGCTTCAACCCATCACTAGGAAATCAATACAGTTGAAGTCAGAATTATTATCCCCCCTGAATTATTAAAAGTATGAATGTAATTCCGACGTACTACATCAGCCTTTTTGTCATGGTCATGTGACCTACCTGCGTCAATTGAGTTGCTTCTCTTCCATTCATGAATTCTCTTGCAGGGCATTATGGGATAGCGCAGCCTGCATGGGATGCGCAGTCCAGAATCTCACCGGAAGTAGTAAGTCCGGAAGTACATCCGGATACTGCTTGCATACTGATTTTCGAATTCTATGAATTCAGACATACTACTCGGCTCGCATACTGATTTTAGCGTACTATATAACATGGAAGTATGCAAATTCGAACGCAGCCATGGTTTGTTGTGTAGACTATCGAAAAATTATAGCTTAAAGGGCCTAATAATTTCAATTCAATGTGTGATAGGACAAAAAATGGTCATAAATTAATATTTTCTCAATAAATACATATATACTGCAATTGTGATTTTCGAAAATATGGACTTCTGGTTTAGCATCCGCCATGTGAAGTCTCAAAATTGGGAGCTCTGCAATCAAATTCACATACTAAATACACAGTTACAACATACTCTACATTTTTTATTATCGTTGCAGCTGCTAAATTGTTTTGTGGACTATTTCTGAACCTTGCGCCTTGATGTAAAAAGTACCAAGTTAAAAAAAGACGAGCTCTAATGGGTCTGCCGAGTCGAAACAAGCATGATTGATGGTGCTGCAATATCTCTTTGGAAACCGCAATTCACCAAAGTGATTTTCGAAAGTATTACATCGCTTTGTGAACGTTTATTATTACCATTTGTTGTGTATTCCCATGCAGTATGATAGAGCGCTTAGACTCTGGCAGGGAAAGAGTCATCTGCTGTTTTTTATGAAATTTACAAGCCGTTTCTGTTTCCTCCATTTTTTTTTTGGCACCAAATATAAATGGCAAACAAACATCATCTCGTTTCCACTATAGGGTAAGCAGTGACATCTGCTTCCGCACACAATGTAAACAGAAATGATATTTGCACAACTGACGAACTATACGAGCAGGTGAAAAAACTAAACAAAACACACAGCTTCTGCTATTTGCACAGTATAAATAGTCACTGCCTTTAAAAGACAAAATCTAGCTACGCTCTTCAGTATTGCATTGCATTACAAAAGACTTCATATAAGAAGCAGAAGATCTACTCAAAAGGACACAGGATGGGTATTATGCAGTCAGCAAGCCTGGACATTAGGGTGCTTTATTCAGTCAAATCAGGATCATCGCCTCATAACTTGGGATGAACAGAGATGGAGGCTTTCTGGTGGGTTTCCTTCAGCCAGGAGATGAGGATTTTATTGAGCTCCGCAGGCCTGAAAAGAGAAAAGGACAAAGAGATTGGACTCGTTTGATCTTGGGATAGAAGCTTTATTAAAATAATTAGTGATCATTCGTGCTGAGGGTCAGATATCTAGACATATCATTATCATTAGTGTTATCTGGATTATATTTCTACTGACTCTAAATCAGGGGTGTCAAACTCCGTTCCTGCAGAGTTTAGTTACAACCCTGCTTCAAAAACCATCAAACAATTCTTAAGGACTCAATTATTTTGATCAGGTTTAATTAGAGTTGGATCTAAACTGTGCAGAGCTGTGGCCCACCAGGAACTGAGTTTGATCTAAATGATCTAAACTTTGCTTACACTCACTCCTGGAGGAGCTATAGTCATGACTGGACAAAGTTCTTTGATTTAAGTGAAGTTTCACAAACTAATTTGATAGTATGGAGCATGTGATCTGACTGATCGGGGCTTGTCTCTCATCTGTAACCATTAGTAAGCCAATCGGATCATTCCAAATTCACTATAAATAGCCCACCTAGCCAAACTCTCTTATCTTCGGTTTTTAAAGAATCCTCCTACCACCCTATCGCCCCCCCTTTCCTCCTTTACCGGTGGAAGCTCTGGAGAACTAGCTGATCTCGGACCCTCTTACATGCTCAGACCAGGTGAGAGCCCTGGGCTCAATTATCTCAGGCCCCGTTTACACTAGTGCGTTTTAGTTTTAAAATGGCGTTGTAGAATGAAAACGATCCGCGTCCACACTCGCGTTTTACCCAGCGTTTCTGAACAGCTCTCCGTCCACACCAAAACGCTGAAAACGCACATCACGTGACCACACACACACTCTCGGGCAAGCGCTCCAGCATTTCTACCCAGATGAGAGCTCTGCTTGTCGGACTGCTCATCAAGCATCTCCCGCTGGATCTGATCTCGCTATATTTGCTAAACGTGATATTTCATTCATGTTGTTGTCTTTATCTAACGACATAGGCCAATTCCCTGACTTTGGTCATTGGAATCTATTAAGTTACTTGTTCACGGGTAACATGTTTTGGTTAAGTGCAAAGATAAGTTAATGATTAATCCAGGTACATTGACTGATCGCTTGCCTTTATTTCCTACAATGTATAAACTTATTGTATGTTATACTTTTATAATTATCGATTATTAAAACTGATGTTCAGCAAAAGAGAGGGAGCGTTTCGTATTTTCACTTAAATTAAAAGGAGGCAGTTGTTATATGCTCCGTTTTGTTATAAATATCCACGCTCATATATGCAACACGACGCCTCAACATTTCTGCTGTCTGTTAAGTTGCTAATATTAAAATGAAAATAGGCAGTTCCTTAAATCATGTTTACATTTTATTGTTGAGAAAGTGAAACAACGTAGCCAAGGTGATGTGAATGAAGTTATAAAGTACACTGTTCCCTTTGAAGATTTACCCGTGTCCTCGGTATGTTTTCCATATCAAACTGAGAAGGGGGAGACTGCAGCCTTGATCAAACTTGCAAAGTCTTAACTTACAAGAAGAGGATGCGAGACTGAACTGTGTGTTAGGCTACTTAATATTGAGGAAAAGCCCCAATCAGAGAGGCGAACGTTTGCAGCCCCGCCTCCGTTTTCAGATGTCTCCGTCTTTCCCCATCCACACTGAGACGGAGCTGCAGCGTTTTAGAATGAAAACGGCCTCTCCAGCGTTTTCAAAAAGCTCCGTTTTCGGCGCTCGAGAACTCCGGCGTAGTGTGGACGGATGGCATGACCGTAGCTAAACTTATGCGTTTCAAACTAAAACGCACTAGTGTAAACAGGGCCTCAGAGACTAGGGTCCTCTCCCATGACAGCATGCCAAACCTGCTAATATTATCAAGAAATATCCAAGTGTGAACTCTTGAATTGTAATTTAAAGGGTCATGAAACCCCCCTGTCTCAGCAGAGTGTTTTCACACCTCTAGTTTAAAAAAAGTCAGGAAAGTGGGTGCGTCCAGCTCTGTTTAGGTGGGAGTGTCAAGTGAGTTTCCGTTTGGGCACGCACACAGACACAGGGGAGAAAGACAGTGACTGTGTTTACATGGACATCAGCAATTAAATGATTTGCCAAATTATTAATTTGTGGACTTTAACTGCAGTTAGGCACTTTCACTTTCATTCAGGAACATTTCATGCATGCCCGCTTTGACAAACAAGATATTGAATGCGAGAATGAACTGCTGGAAGAGTGTTGTTTTAATGGAATGTTTGATAGCGCATGCCCTATGGGAGAAAAAAAAAAACCTCTGCATTTATCTGTAACAGTAGTTAGCATCAGAAAGCCGTGTGTGTACAGACTATCCTCTCAAAAAAAAAAGGTAATAGATTGATTGCAGTGTTTACATGTTTACACTCAGAGAGCAGCATTTACAGAGGATCTTTCAGTCTATAATATTGTAGTGATATTAACGTACTATAACTACTACTACTAACTAAATCATTTTGACTAAGGTCTGTCTTTAAACACTGAAAGAGTACTGCTGACGAACTAACTTTCCCATCTGAATAAACAAACAAAGACCACTGATCACACATTTTCCAAATCTGTAGAGACAGGACAAGCAACACGAATGGGAGCCCTGCCTTTTCTAAAAGGAGACGAGTAGCAAATCTTTACCATTTCCAGATGTGAAAAGCTCTCAGGTAAAAATGTTCCTTACAAACATATTTTGCACTGTCGCGTGCACTGTAGTCCACATGTTGCGCTGTCATAGCACGAAATGAAAAACCTTCATTGCAGCACATTCATAAACACAACACTGACGATCCGTGTCTCCAAACAATTCTTGTTCTTTTACTTGTTTTGGCAACACGACGTGTCTTCGAAGCTATCATGCATATTATTGAAGTTGCACCGCATACACAATAGAGTGTGCTGATTGGTTTAAATCAAGTCTATCTCATGAATTAATGCTGCACACTCAAACTCGTCACATTGTACAGACAGCCAGTCTCCACGCTGGAATACACACAAGGAATTAATTGCCGTGACGCAGCTTTAAAAATTTGTTTTAAACCGGAAGAACGAATTTGCTCGCAATAACGTAAAAACAACCGGTTAGCTTAATATACGTGTTCTAATAGTGTTTTTAGCAGAATGGGACATATATAATATAACATGCATGCGTTTTGGTGTTTGGTGTTTCGCGACCCTTTAAGAACTTTTCAAGCACTATACAGGTGACAATTTACTACTTTATTTGGATTTTACAGGAAAAATCTGGGGGTATATTTGCCCAAAGCCCAACAGGTTTCAGCTTAGTCTCTTTATTTATCAGTGGTCACCACAGCGGAATGAACTGTCGACTATTCCAGCATATGTTTTACAAAGCGGATGCCCTTCCAGCCGCAACCTAGTACTAGGAAACACACTCTACACTCTCACTCTCACGCACTCATACACTACGATCAATTTAGTTCACTCAATTCACTTATAGCGCATGTGTTTAGACTGGGAAAAACCGGAGCACCCGGAGAAAACCCACACCAACACGAGAAGAATATGCAAACTCCACACAGAAACTGTCCCAGCTAAGGCCTTCTTGCTGTGAGTGATAGTGCTTACGACTGAGCCACCGTGCCACCACCATAATTATCATTATGTATTTAGTGGTGGGCCGTTATCTGCGTTAATGCGAGACTCTTATCGGGCAATTAAAAAAATATATCACCGTCAATCTATTCTCAAAGTTGGGTTGGGAGCTGGGTCTATTCTACGCAAGCTATGGTGACTTTAACCTTGATAGTTTGGCGCGGATGTGTAAACGGCCAAATTGCACTGTAGGTGGCAAGAATGAGTCTTCGAACCTGTGTGTATTCCTACTCTGAAATTACCACATCAAACGTGACGTGCAAACATGGATGCAGTTCACTAGAGTGAATCTTATTAATGTTAGCTCCACATATAACTATCAGGAATGTGAAGTGCTTTCATGTAAGAGTTTACAGTCATTTTCGGGTGACTTTAACTGCAGTTCGGCTGTTTCACATTCACTCATGAACATTTCATTCATGCCCCTGTGACAAACTGGGGTATTAGACGCAAACAATGAGTAAGGACTGGTGACAGTGTTATGGAATTTAATAACAAAAGAAAAGAAAAAACTTCCTCATTTCGTGCTGTGTGTGTGTGTGTGTGTACGTGTTTTTGTGACATATCAGGACACAAATCTGTATAAAGACATGGGTATGACACAGGTATTACAAAAAGGAGGTGAAATATGAGGACATTGGTGACGTCCTCATTTTTCAAAATGCGTATAAATCCTACAGAATGAGTTTAATCAGAGAGTAAAGCTGCACACAGTATCCTGTGATGGTTGGGTTTAGGGGTGGGGTGGGGGCAATATAATATACGATTTGGACTGTATAAAATGGATGGAAACCTATGTAATGTCCCCACTTTTCACAAAAACAAACATGTGTGTGTATGTGTGTGTGTTTGTGCATGTGTGTGTGGGTTTCTTTACTGACAGCCACGTGTGTGGATTTTGTCGGAAAATATGGCGAAAAGTCCTACATGACGGCAATAGTTTGATCACAGTGTTTACTACAATAATGCCGCTAATATCTGAATACTCCACATGTCTTAATTCCATATCTCTTTAGTTCAGTTATGACTTTAGTCGGATTAAGGTGTCAAAAAAAATATATATAATAAAAATCGTTGTTTTGAGCTTATGTAGGCCTACAGCTCAGAATTCATGTTTACCTGAATTAACAGTGAGTAATCACAAGTACATCTTACTGAACATCATTTATTTTCATCACCAATTATCATAGTAGAACAGTTTCTCAAGCAGTTTATTATGCATTTTGGAAACAGGAGATGAGCCTCTGGTCTGATGCGCCACCTGGCTTGAGAAACCCGTTCTCAAAGACTTACTTTAGGTCATTATTTGCGTAGCACACATATTCTGAATGCCTTCGGCAGAATTCAAATCAGCCATTTTAATCTACAGGGTGGGCCATTTATATGGATACACCTTAATAAACTTA